AACTTCAAGAACTTCTAGAATCGCAACCAAGCGTCCGAACCATATAAAATCAACTCCAAACGACACCAAATTTTGCAGAAAAGTACCAAATGATATAATGGAGCTGCTCCAACTCTCAGAATCACATTCCGACACTGATATCACCAAAGTCAACTCTCGATCAAACATCTCAATCCTCCAAAAACATCAACTTTCCAATTTTCGCCAAAATGCTTCAAATTATTCTACGGACCTCCAAATCCAAATCCGTACGTACGTCTACGTCCAAAATCACCACCCGAGACTATTGGAACCATCAAAACTCCAATCCAATGTCAAATACTCAAAAATCAAACCTTGGTCAATTCTTTCAACTTCGAGCTTCTCAAATGAGAGTCACTCCTAAAAATTCTTTCCGAACTTCTCAAAAATCCGAACCGATGATGCATGCAAGTCATAATACACTGTGTAAAGCTACTCATGACCTCAAACTGCCGAACCTGACGCAATTTCTCAAAACAACCAACCGGGTTGTTACAAAAAAAGTCGAAAAACAAAGCAAATCAAACAAAGATATAGAAGATAGAGAGAGTTGAATTGAATACGATGGGAAAGAACTTTAAAATAAGTCACCGCTCACTATTTACCCAAAAGAAAAATTACCAGCCTATGCTCCTTCAAAATTACCTATAGTAACTATATTTACATGATGAAAAGTTTTAAACAAAAGGCACATCCAAAATAACTCCAGATTTTACATAACTGAAAAGAGATAAACTTTTGATATTTTTGTAAGCAAAATGGAGGCAGACATTTGTGAGTCCCCTAGGAGGGAGTAATGGAGCCAGGCCAATCAGTAACAAAAGAGTTTACTCCCAATATAATACTTTTCGGTGTTATTCTAAATTTAACTGGGCCCAATACAAATATCAGATACCGAGTAGGAAATCAGAAATAGAGGAATTAAAGGGAATGATTTATGGTAATTGAAAACAACAACAACAACAACCCAGTATAATCCCACTTAGTGGGGTCTGGGGAGGGTAGTGTGTACGCAGATCTTACCCCTACCCTAGGGTAGAGAGACTGTTTCCAAATAGACCCCCGACATCCTTCCCTCCAAGAACTTCCCACCTTGCTCTTGGGGAGACTCGAACTCACAACCTCTCGGTTGGAAGTGGGGGTTGCTTACCATCAGTAGTAATTGAAAAGCCATATGTAATTGAACCTACGAACCTTGTAACACGTTTGGTGGTTGTTATGCATGTGTCATGCCCAAATAATTAATTTGCTGGTGAGACGATGCCTCACGTGCGAACTATATGGTCCACCTCAATATTTTTGTTGTGTAAATAAAGAATCATAAAAGAAATAACTTCGACTAAAGGCACATACAATGGAAAAAAAATTGTAATAAAGTAGCTCGGAAGAACCTTAAATCAGATATACCTTATTGGTTTTGGAAGATACAATATATGTTGTTTCACTAATCATCCTGTATTTTAGAATTGTAAAGCACAGATAGATAGTAAACCCTCTTCCTTTTTTCGGGCTTGGGACCGGCTGTGGTACAGTACTGTAACTCAAACACAGGCGGAGTTAAAAACTTGGTTTTTTCATTGTTGAGATTGATCATTAGGTCTCCTACGAGAAAGCTTTCTGAATAATTTCATCATAAACCACATTATATGTTGAATGATCATCATTACTATCTGCTGTAGATGGTCGAATCAGTAATTTAACACATTTTGAACTTTTGGCTCTTGATAAAGCAACGTAAAGTTGACCATGAGAAAAAACAGATTCACGTAAGTAAATTCCAACAAAATCTAATGTTTGACCTTGAGCCTTTTTTATGGTCATAGCAAAGCACAATTGTAGGGGAAATTGTGTTCTCTTAGTTTGAACAAGTATTTTTTCATCTTGTAATGCTAACAATGGTATTCTCAAAATAAATACATGTATATTTTTTAAATCACCACTTTCGATAACACTTATAACATGTGTTCTAAAGTCACAACATGTTAACCGTGTACCGTTGCATAAATTTCGTAATAATATAACTGGATAATTTGCCCTTAAAGTTAACTTATAAGGCGGTAAATCAAGAGGATCTAAACTATGTAGAAAATCTTCAAACTGGCTTTGATCATTCGGTTCAATAGTTTCATCTATTGCAACAAATGTTTTAGACCTTTCTTAGATTAGTGATTAACATATTATTTATTTCATTTACAAAGTTATTCGTTGTCGTTAAAATAACACGAGAGGTTATCAAAGATGAATCAGGAGAAAATGCATGCAAATCAGGATACGTTACACTAAACAATGCATCTAAGGATTCTTCTTCAGTCATAAAAGGAATAACAAAAGAATCAGAAATCTCTATTTTATCTTCACAGTGAGTTCTTTTTGTTCCATTTCCAATCCGGAGTAAATATTCACAAAAAGAAGAATTTGTTCTTGCGCGCATATTTTCAGATAGGTACAATTTCTCAAGTTTATTACAAATTTCAGAATGCAATAAGCTTTCATGAATAAAATTTTCTTTTTTTTTCCATTTCGAACAAGTGGTAGAGTTTGTATAAAGTCACCTCCGAGTACAACAACTTTACCACCAAATATATACTGGCGTCCATAATATCTCTCAGAAGTGCATCAAGAGCTTCAATCATATTCTTTTTTCCCATCGACGCCTCATCCATACAATTAGTTTTGCATCTCTAAATAGACGTGCGAGCGAACTTTGTTCACTAATGTTGAAATGAAAATTATCATCTACATCAATAGGCATTTTGAACCGTGAGTGAGCAGTTAGTCTTCCTAGAAGGATCGAAGCTGCACACCAGAAGTTGCTGTTGCTAAAGCTATAAATCCTTGAGACCGGATAGTTGCTAATAATGCACGATATAAAAAGGTTTTACTTGTTCCTCTAGGACCGTTGATGAAGAAAGCTCCTTGTTTTCCAGAAAATACTCTATCAATTATTGTACTATATGAGCGTAATTGTTGAATGAATCTCTTCGGTAAGAGCAAGTCTTGTTCACTAACAATTCTATTTCCTTCAAAATGACCATCCTTTCAGTTTCAGAAGCTCTAATCTTCTCTAGAATAAGCTTATACTCATTTATGGCGTGTCCCATAGAGTGTAAGATGTCATTGACATAGCTTAAAACCTTATGTCGAACACCTTTTTTTTTCAAAATCGGAGAAATGTTTACAGTCTTCGGTCATTGAATCTCCAAACATTTCCCATAATTTTTTTGAATTAGTAGGATTGCAATATACTAACAGTGTGGCAAATAAACGTCTCAAGCTATACGACATTTGATAGCTTACAGCCTCCAACATATATTCAATTAGACTATTGCTACAGTATAATAATCCTCTTTTTCCACTGATTCTCTATACAGGGTACCTCGTTAACAATGCGAAGATCTTCATATGATTTAGGTCCTCTCACGTTCATCAATAATAACATGAGGTAATATCTCCCTCCTTCTGTTGGATGACATGTTACAACACATCCAATTACGTTACGTTTTTGTCGACGTGTCCATTTTGTATATCCTGGAGACCATACAAAATATTCCGGAAATTCGTTATACAATAATTGCATAGCTACAGCATGTTCATCAGTTGCATTCATAGCAAAAAATTCAGTCAACATTATTTTTCTAATCATCAGATTATTTAGAATTCTATTCATAGTTTCACTACTTTAAAAGGAAAAAAATTGTTTCCCTTCTAAATGTAACTGAAGATGATAAACACTTGGAGTCATTTCACTAGTAGGAAAACCAAATAAATGTCATGTCGCTTCTGGGGGTGTTACTCTTCTAGCAGATCGATATTCTTTTATTTTATCTATTTTATTTTGTTATGTATAGAAAAAATAATTTTATTATGTCCTTTGCAAATGTATTTGTAAATATATTTTATAACTTTAATATCCAAACAAATTTCAATATTCATATGACAATTAAACTTACAAAGTAAGCAAAGGTTGTATGGGACAACCCATGAATTGTCCAAATATTATTCTCTTATAAAGTTTGCCTGTGTTTCGTCTTCTATAAATTAGATACGAATTCTTTGCTTTTGACGTTTGCTCAGCAAAATCTTTTGGATAATTGAATTTACAAAGCCCCCTTTTTTCCATTCATGAATTTATAGGATTTAAATCACCACACGGTCCGTGCATCAGCATAATGGGGAAATGGGTCCTTACATTTTAGATATAAAATGGGGGAAATGGGTCCGGGCGGGTTGCGGGCAACAAGGACGGGTTGGGGTTTTAAGTGTTGGGGTGGTTCTTCTGTTCAGAAGATGCCATGTGTCTAAGCCGTTAAATTAGGAGTATATTTAAAACTTTATTGGACGGTAAGGGTAAATACAAACAAATAGTATAACGTGAATAGATTAAATAATATTTAATAGTAAAGGGGTATATTTGGCCTTTTCCGCCTTTAATATATGCAATTGACAAACCATCCAACCATTTCATCGTCGTGATTAACATATTAGTAAAACAAAATAATTCAACAAGGGGTATATTATTTTTCAGTCCTAATATCCAATAAAATATACAACAGATTATTATATTCTGTCCATCTCGATAACGATGTGTATCTTCTAAATAGATATACTCTATTGAACAATTAGGTGTATACATATGGAGTATGGACATTAATGTAACACGCTATCAGCCATAGTATCTGGTCTCCTAACTCAGACATTACCATCCACGTACAGAGTCGGAGTCAGGATTTGAAACTTATGGATTTGAGATTTTAGTCATTTTAAGTTAGTGGATTTTAAATTAATAATTTACACTTATTTAATAGATACTTTAAGACAAATACATAAATTAGACCTAAGCGATTGGATTCGGCCGAACCCGTACTCGATAGACTAGCTCCGCCCCTGTCCACATAGACATTTTATTTTGAAATGCTTCACAGCATTTTGCGAGCCCTTTTTTTTAATGCCAAAAAGGAAATTTAATTGATAAATACTTCACCAACATAGTCTCTTGAATATTAAAACTTGGTTGCTTTTAGTTCCAGTCTTCAGAGTTCCTGCAATCTTTTATTAGTTACTCCCCACTTGTCTGTTTTCTTTTTGCTATTATTATTCTTTATCACGTCTACATATATTCTTATACTTATCCACTAGTTGACTTCTAAGTTTTGTTTAGTTTTCCCCTGATTATAGGGTTGTTCATAAGCTTGTGATTAATTACTAGGTGAGAGAGGGCTGATCAGTTGTTCAACGTGAAAATGAGCACAAAGATTAGGAAAGAAAGCAGAATTAAGAAGTACATAAAAGCACCCATCAGAGTTCTGATTAAAGCCAGGGACTGCTATGTCCGAAGCATGGCGGATTGTTCTGGCAGAATTGGCTATGGCAGTATAAGCTCATGTCCTGCAGTTCCACAACTATCCTCTTTGCCCAGAAGTGTTAGCGTCAACTCTTCTGTGTCAAGTGGAGATGAAGACTTTAGGGAGCTGATGCGAATTGCTTCTAAAAAGAGTACACTTGTAAACAAAATGGAATTAGAAAATCTGAGGCGACAATCCCCAATTAAAATTGAGGTGAATATGAATGTAGTGCCTCGGAGTCGTTCTGTTGCCATAGGAAGAATCGATGAAGACGAACCTTGTGATTTTGGTGAGGATGTGATGGTGAAGACAGATGTTTATCCCAGAGCAAGAAGTAGAAGCTATGCTGTTTCTTCTAGACAGAGTCCAAACAATAAAATCTAAAGAAGAAAAAAACATGGCAGGCCGCAGGCTTTGATATACAGCGCTTATTCTTACGCTTTTCTTTCTCCAGCTTCCGGTTATCGACTGTTTCTTGGATTGTATAGTTGTTATTCCTCTTCCAAAGTTGTCATTTTTGTTGTTGCGTATACATGTTCAAAGTTGTCATTTTTGTTGTTGCGTATGTTAAAAAAATAATATTTTTAATATCTCAAAAAGAATATTCAAATTGACAATAAATTAGAATAATTTTGAGTATAATGTTTATTAACATTAAATGAGTATTAAAATCAATTATATTTTTGTAAGTTTGAAATTGACCAAAAATGGTCTTTGTCCGTTTGCTAGTATTAAATATAATAATCATTTCCTTTAAAAGTTAAAAGGAGTGGTTATAACTGTTTCGGTTTTGAAATTGAACTTTTAATGAATTTTAAAGTCTCATTCATTTCAGATCTTGGTATTGAATTCTTAACATTTTCTTATTGATTTCTTAGCATTGAATTCTCAAAGAATTTTACCGTTTCTACATTTCAGATGTCCATCTTCTTGGACTATAATAAAGTTATTTGTTTGTGTTCAGTGTAGTAGTGTGGAAAAAAGTTAAAAAAAAATTATTCCATTTTCTTTTGTGCTTGGTTTTTTTTATACAATCTTTGTTGTTTCTTCTCCTAGTTATACTAGAAGAGTTTGTTGAATCCTGGGGGATACGCCTAATATTATTCATCTCGGTGAGGGCGAAATATCCTTAAGGACAGTGTCTTTGACATGCCTCAAGCTAAACCTTTTATTCTCCATAATCATCCAATTTTTCTAACAATCTTAAGGATATTTACACTGTTATTATGGAGAATAACGCTGCTAATGTTGTTGTTGCTAGTACACCCGCTGCGCCTACTATTTCTGTTGTTGTTTCATCGCTAATTACATGTGCCAAATTTTTTTCCGATGTTTTGAAAATTGCAGTTTTTGGTGGAGATAATTTTAACCGCAAGTACGATGTTGTTGACAAAGGAAAAGAAATTGCAACTAGAAGCAGCCTTGTGGAGGACAACAACCGTCAGAGAAAATCAAGTAACAGGTATGACGAAAGAAATGGTTATAAGCCCAAAACCAACAATCAAACCTTCAAGGAAAAAAGCAACTGCTTTGTGTGTGGAAAATCTGGCCACTATGTTGCTCAATATCGAAAAAGGGTTGGGAATGACAATCCCACTAAGGCTAAAGTAAATTTGACTGAAGCCAAAGTGGATAATATAATTATTGCGGTTGTTTCCTAAGTGAACCTTGTGGCCAATGTGAAAGATTGGGTGCTAGATTCTGGTGCCACTAGGCACATATGTGCTAACAAAAAAGGCTTTGTGTCTTTCACCCAAGATGAGGAGGGAGAAGAAGTTGTCTATCTTTGTGACACAAGAACTACTCAAGTTCTTGGAAAAGGCAAAGTTCTTCTCAAACTCACATCTGGCAAAACTTTGGCATTGAATGACGTGTTGCATGTTCCTAGTATCCGAGCCAATTTGGTCTCTGTGGGATTATTAGAAAAAGTGGGGTGAAGGTTTCTTTTGAATCTGATAAGGTCGTGTTGACCAAGAATAATAATTTTGTTGACAAGGGTTATTATAACCATGGCTTGTTTGTACTCAATGTTATCAATGAAAATGCTAGTACTTCTGCTTACTTGATTGATTCTTTTAATTTATGGCATGTTAGATTAGGACATGTTAGTTTTTCTCATATTAAGAAAATGCATTCTGAATGTCTTATTTCAAATATTAATTTTCGAATATTGATAAGTGTGAAGTTTGTGCAGAAGCTAAACAAACTAAGAAATCATGTGCTTCAGTATTTAGAGAATGTGAATTATTAAGTTTAATTCATACTGATTTAGGAGACTTAAAACAAACTATGACTAGAGGAGGGAAAAAATATTATGTGACTTTTATAGACGATTTTTCTAGATATATAAAAGTTTATTTGTTGAGAAATAAAGATGAAGCTTTTGATAAGTTTTTAGTTTATAAATCTGAAGTAGAAAATCAATTAGATAAGAAAATCAACAGAGTTAAATCCGATAGAGGTGGTGAATTTATTTTGTTGAATGATTATTGTGAGAAAGAAGGCATAATTCATGAGATAACTCCGCCATATTCTCCACAATCAAATGGTATAGCCGAAAGAAAAAATAGGACCTTAAAGGAAATGATGAATAGCATGTTTGTTAGTTCTGGTGCTCCGGATAATCTTTGGGGTGAAGCCATTTTATTTGCTTGTCATTTATAAAATAGAATTCTTTATAAGCAAACAGGTAAAACTCCTTATGAGCTATGGAAAGGGTATCCACCTAATTTGAAATATTTTAAAGTGTGGGGGTGCCTTGCTAAAGTTATGTTGCCTGATCCTAAGAAAAGAAAAATAGGATCTAAAACATCTGATTGTATGTTTATTGGGTATGCTGAAAACAGTGCAGCATACAGATTTTTAGTAGTCAAAAGTGATGTACTTTAAAACAATACTATTGTTGAAACAAAAAATGCTGAAATTTTTTAAAGTATTTTTCCTTTAAAATTTGAGAAATTTTTTGATGCTCCTATTATTCCAAGTAATAATATTTCACATGTTCCAATTGTTCAAAATGATCTTGAAAGTGAGGATTTAAGAAGAAGCAAAAGACCAAGGAAAAAAAAAATCTTTTGGTAATAATTTTTATACTTATCTTGTGGATAATGATCTTTTAACATATTCTGAAGCTATTTCTTCGTCTGATGCCTCATTTTGTAAAGAAGCTATTGATGTAGAATTAAATTCAATTTTATAAAATAAAACTTGGATTTTAGTTGATTTACCTCCGGGAGCTAAACCCATTGGTTGTAAATGGATTTTTAAGAAGAAACTCAATACAGATGGTTCCATTGATAAATACAAAGCTAGACTTGTTGCAAAAGGTTTTACCCAAAAACAAAATGTTGATTATTTTGATACTTATGCTCCTGTAACTAGAATTTCCTCAATTCGTGTTTTACTTGCCTTGGCTTCTATTTATAAACTTTTTATTCACCAAATGGATGTTAAAACTGCATTTTTAAATGGTGATTTGGAAGAGGAAATTTACATGGAGCAACCTGAGGGTTGTATAGTGTCTGACCAAGAAAATAAAGTATGTAAATTGCTAAAAAATTTATATGGTCTAAAGCAAGCGCCTAAACAGTGGCATGAAAAATTTGATCAAATATTGATTAATGATGGTTTTTCATCAATTGAAGTAGATAAATGTGTTTATACAAAATGTATAGATGGTACATGTGTTATTATTTGCCTTTATGTGGATGACATGCTTATTTTTAGTTCTAGCCTTGATTTGGTACATAAAACCAAATTTTTTTTGTCTTCTAATTTTGAGATGAAAGACATGGGAGAAGCTAGTGTTATTTTAGGCATGAAAATTATAAGAGATGACAATAGTTTGATATTGACTCAAGAACATTATGTTGAAAAATTCTTAAAAATTTTGATAATTTTGATATGGTACCTGTAAGCACTCCTTATGATACTAGTAGTCAATTAAAAAGAATAAGGGAGATGTTGTAGATCAAAATAAATATGCTCAAATTATTGGTAGCCTAATGCATTTGATGAATTTCACTAGACCTGATATTGCATATGTTGTATGTAGATTGAGTAAATTATACTCAAAATCCGAGTCATGATCATTGAATTGCATTAGTAAGAGTAATGAAATATTTGAGAGGTACCATGAACTATGATATTAAATATAGTGAATTTCCCACTATACTAGAAAGATACAGTGATGCTAACTGGATCTCTGATTCTGATGAGACAAAATCTACTAGTGGTTATATGTTCACCCTCTGTGGGGGTGTTGTGGCATGAAAATAAGCTAAACAAACAATATAGCTAGATCCACCATGGAATCTGAGTTTGTGGCATTGGAATTGGTTGGCAATGAGGCTGAGTGGTTAAAGAACCTTTTGGCAAGTATTCCACTAGGAATAAAACCGATACATTCTGTGTCGATGCATTGTGATTGCCAAGCTGCAATAGCCATTACTAAAAATAAATCCTTTAATGGGAAGAGTAGACATATCCGATTGAGACATAATGTGATAAAGCAGCTGCTGGGAGATGGAGTTATTTCCATAGATTATGTGAAGTCAGAAGTGAATTTGGCCGATCCTCTAACTAAACCTTTGGGAAGAAAATTAATATCTGAAACATCGAGGGGAATGAGACTTTTGCCAATTTGAGTTATATCAACTATGATAGTAACCCAGCCTATGTGATTGGAGATCCCATGAAGTAGGTTCATATGGATAATAACAAGTCATTAGTTGATCAAATGTGCACTATTAAATTATATCCTTTGCTATGGTGTGTGTATATATAGTGCAAGACTGCAAGGAATGGGAGGTTGAGTTATTAAACTCTTAATATAATCCATAGCCTAATTTTAGGTGGTGTATTGCGCTGCAGAATACACTTAATGGATGGACCTATATAAGTGTGGAGTGGGTACGCTCCTATGAAATTTATGGCAAAAAATTTCTAGAGCACTCATGAAAATCAGGCACGCTCATAGGCCTATTAGCGCAAAACCGCGATAAACAATAAAGTGTGTGTGTGTGTGTGTGGGGGGGGTATAATATGATAGATAAGATACTAAACTTACAAAAGAATTCTTGGTTCATAAAAGTTTTGAATTTCACCAATCGTTCTCTAAGTTTAATCTTATTTTATCCAGGTCTGGTTCGTAGTCCAAGAGACACCAGATGCGACGCGTTATGCTCATTTGTGAAAACCCAGCAAATTTTTTTATTTCATTATGATATTCTTTTGAGCTATGTGGGGGATTGTTAAAAAAAATAATATTTTTAATATCTCAAAAGAATATTCAAATTGACAATAAATTAGAATAATTTTGAGTATAATGTTTATTAACATTAAATGAGTATTAAAATCAATTATATTTTTGTAAGTTTGAAATTGACCAAAGAATGGTCTTTGTCCGTTTGCTAGTATTAAATATAATAATCATTTCCTTTAAAAGTTAAAAGGAATGGTTATAACTGTTTCGGTTTTGAAATTGAATTTTTAATGAATTTTAAAGTCTCATTCATTTCAGATCTTGGTATTGAATTCTTAACATTTTCTTATTGATTTCTTAGCATTGAATTCTCAAAGAATTTTACCGTTTCTACATTTCAGATG